AAATAGTTAATTTGATACTAATATCGATATATTTTTGTCAAATTTTTATGATATCTTCAAACATATATTTTATTCAAAAATAAAAACATCATCTCTTTCTCAAAATCACATAAAGCTATATTATAACATCGACTGAGATAAATAATAAAATGAAATATTAAAATCACGATGTATCTCGCTGCATTGCGCGAGTACGCTTCTAGTCAAATAAAGGATAAACATCTCATTTTAAAATATAAAAAATCTAAAATATAATTAGGATAATTATCGAGTTCTAACAAAATAATTAACTATTATCTTTATAAGAAAATTATATTACTAAACCAAATATAAATTACTTCGTTATTGAACTTAAATTAAATTTGAATTAAAAAATTACACAAAAAATGAGAAATTTTAAATAGTTAATTTGATACTAATATCGATATAATTTTGTCAAATTTTTATGATATCTTCAAATTTATATTTTATTCAAAAATAAATACATTATCGTTTTTTTAAAATCACATAAGACCATATTATAACATTGATTGAGACAAAAAAAATAAAATAAAATATTAAAATGAAGATATATCTCGTTACATTACACGAATACCCCTCTAATAAAAATAACATATGAAAACTGGCTTATAAGATCTTGAAAAAAAAGGAGCGGACTCATTTCCTCAATCCCAAGCAGTAAATACTAAAAAGACTTTTTTCATAAAGACACTGGACTTTTTCCATTAAGAAGCTAAATGGTTAATTTTGTATTTATTCTAAACAATTTTTTTTATTAACCTGGATATCCAACCCGCTATGTGAGCCGACTAATCTCAGGGCGACCACCTGTTTTACATATAGTCCGGAGTCATCGCATTTGAACCTCCGTGGCCACAAGGGAATTTTTATTCTTCTTTGGATTTGAACCTAAAACCTCCTGATACTTTTGACCTTTGAAGCTAAGCTTAAACCAATCAGACACCACCCTAGTGGTTACTAAACAGATATTTATAGGCTTTTCAAATCTGATTATTTAACTCTAAAAATGAGAGAAATAAAATCTAGTTTTTCTGAAACTCAACAAAGCTGATTATTTCCCAAACAGCTCTAAACATGCTTCATGTTTCCTTCATTATTGAGTACATTGAGGTCAACCTACACATGTTCATCACCAATTTAAAATCAAAAGTGGCACTAAATCCTAAGAACAATTTGCACATTAAATTTTTTATATAAATAAATAAATCAAATTGTTCAAAGGATTTAAATAAATAAATAAATAAATAAAAACCAAAATTTGACATACAAGGTTTCCAAGATTCATCCTCCAATGCCTGCAAAATCTTTGACAGTGAATCCAACCTTCTCAAACTTCCCTCTCTCACTGTTCTCTCTAAACCTCAAATAATCACAACACAAAAAGGGTTTATAGGATCTCAATCCATCACCCACAACTTCATCAGGTGCGAAAATTACCTTATTGCCCTCGAAGCACCAGAAGAAAGCTAGCGAAAACCGGTTTGTGGAGGATTCCTTTAAGATGACTCGATGCTCGGAAGATCTTAACTTCCCGTTGCTCCAAGCATGCAACAAGTCTCCAATATTCACAACAAGTGTTTCTTCACATGGGTCGATGTCCAACCATTTCCCGTCTTTTGATCTCACCTGAAGCCCCCCAATGTCATCCTGATAAACGATCGTCAAGCAGCTCATATCCGTGTGCATCCCGAGCCCTTCAACGTCGTTTCCCATCATCCTACTTTCGGGTGGGGAGTAGTTATTTATCCTTACATACCCTTCACATTTAGAGAATTCAGATTCGAATTCCCTCTCAAAATCTTCCCCCAAACACATCAACAATATCTCCGTGATTTTCTTGGATAAGCTCCTCATTTTACCCCCATATTCTCTTAACGCCTCACTGTTAAAACAGAAAAACACAGGATAAATAACAGACACCATTTCTTTCCCATATATATAGATACATATATACACATACAATAATCAAAAGATGGTTTTGGTTTACCAGAATTCTGAATTCGGCTGGTTCAAAAGGGCTTCAACGGAGCTCTGTGCAGAGGCATGGAAATCGGGTCCAGAAACAAGAAGAGATTCAAAGAAAGGGGAGGCAATGAAATGAGGAGTGTACGTTTTCGTGTTTGATGTGGGCCCAGCTTTGAGTTTGAGTTCATAAGGAAGGCTAAAAAGTTGATATGAAAGAAACCGGAGTTTGGCGTAAAGATCTTTGGAGATTCCATGGTTGATTATGTGAAAGAAACCCCATTCTTTGCAGGCTAAAGAGAGGGAGGAGATGGAGGATGGGGTTATAGATTTTGATATATCAAAAACAGGTAGTTGTACTGAAGTTTGGGATGCAGGCATGATGAAAAAATGAAAGCTGTTTATAAAAAGAGTTAGATTTCACGAAGCTTATAAACGAATCGTACTGTAGGAGACAAGTATTATATTAATATTAATAACCGTAAGCAAATTTAATATTCAAAAGTACCGATTTAGAATGCCAAGTTCTGGGGACAAGCATCTAGTTACAAGTGCAAACATAATAAAGCCGCAATGAATGTAAATTGGTTGACTTACAGGTTGGCGGTACTTGGGAAGATTCTCTTTTCATTGGATTTTCTGCAATGAAACAAAGTCAACGAAGAAAAGCGGGTTGGAATTAGTAAAAAAAAATATAGCAGATGAGAAGCAAGAGGCATAAAATATGGAAGTATAATGGCTTCACTCCTTTCCAATTGACTTATATAACTTCATGTATATGCAACCATTTACCTGCACTACACCTATTGCACAAAGTAAACATAAACACCCTTCATTCCCCATAGTCAATGCAGAGACAAAACAACATAAAATTAACAATCAATGATTCTTGAAAACGTTCAGCTAACAATGATTCTTAAGTAGCGTTTTTGTCATCATTAAGTTGTACACACACACACATATATGTGTGTGTATATATATATATATATGTGTGTGTGTGTGTGTGAGTGTGTATCTAGAAGTCATACGGGCTATAGTACAATGAATGTAGGAACTCAGGTGATTGTTTTTGGAATAAAGATGTTGCACATGCTTTATGCTTCGCTCTTAAATAATCTGCCAATATTAGTTGTCACTTCAACCAACGGCTTGTAATCTCCAACTTGACGGTGCTAGTTGGATATGAATAATAAAAATCATGTGCAATTTTGGGACCTAAATTAGCTGGAATGGAATAAGACCAAATATTTTTGTTTAAACCAGACAAGGAAGTCATGGTATTCTGTTGTTAAACCATTATATACTATGGAGTTAAAGGTGTACCTTTTGACCAAATTCAGATCCAGTCTTGGGTTCCCCTCAGGCATTGGCCCATACATGTGCATAAGGTAGAGTATAGGCTGCTATATTTGATGAATTAACTTTAGAGTTTGATGTGAGTCAAACTGAGATTCAAAAAAATTAGTGCTATACATAGATTTCTCCCAAAAGAATAACAAAATCCACTTGCAGAATAACAGAAGAAGACGAAAGTTGCATAACTTTCAAAAGATTTACCTCACAGAAGTTTATGGATGGATGCTTTTGAAAAGTTACGGATATGGTACATACCCGCCAAGAAAACAAGAAACCTCAAATAGCATAAGAGCCAAAAGCTTGCAACTATTTGCATTTTAGCTTCAAACACGTGGAGACCGGAGGGGAATAAAAGCATTTATGGGGAACTAGAAACCATGGTTTGTTGGTTCTACCAAACTATGGATTTCTTACTTCCTTTCTTTCTCTTCATATTGTGCCATACAAGCCATAGAAGTTAAAAGAAGTTCACCCTTGGGGGAGGGAGCTGAAAAGAAAAGAAATGAAAGCAGAGAACGAAATAAGCAACTGGAAAAGATTGAATACATTGGAAATTTGACACATGATGCAAAAAAGTATATGAAAAGAAAAAGATGAAGAGTTTCCATTTATTACAAATGAGCAGGAGCAACTGATATTATGATTCTGTATATATAGAAGATCGATTTGTGCAGCATGCGTCACTTGCCATAACTTTGAAAAATTTATAAATCATACAGTACTAGTCTACCCACAAATTTTATGGTTATACTCGTATCCCCAAATCTTGGTCCAACAAATCCAGTTCACTGATCGTGGACTGAGGATGTTATAATGTGACATTATAATTGCATTGTACAAACGGAAAAACAAACATGCAATATCTAATTTTAGTCATTGTCTAAGAAGACTTAGGGAGGGAAATTTTGTTATTATCTTGGAAGTAACGTCTAGGCTCCTGCAATCATTATAATGTAGCTGAAGAAGACTTGAATCATCTGGCAGAGGGTTTTTGGCAACTTCCATTCTGCTCAAATGGGGGTAACAGTGAAACTAACTTTAAGCAATGTGGATCTTCCACGCACCTAAGTCATTTATCTGCACCAGGTAACTTGTCCAATAAAGTGCAGTCAAAGGATTACTTCCTGTGAAATAATAGGGACTGCGAAAGTTAGCTGATATTAGTAGAATTTCCATCTAACATTGTCCATTTGAGCTGGCTAATGACTATGGCCCTAAGTTCAAGACTTATTTTAGAATTCTAATGGATGTTACAAAAAAAACAAGGTTAACCATGTGTTAACAGACTCTCCATTGCAGAATTTGACCTGTGGCTTACTTCATACATGAAACATTCTGATTCTTCACACACCATGGAACCCTAGACCCTTGACTTGCATAGCATGATGTTTAAGTTGCATATTAAGCGAGAAATATAAGCATATTATGAATCGAACCTTTCTGAATTACTGGATCAAAATAATTATCTTTCACCTGAAGCCAATTGATTGGTTCATCCATTTGAGTGTCGTTCTTGAGTAGACAAATTGCTTTTACAAGTGCAATGATCTTATAGACAAGCAAAACACCTAGTTTAATAAATATGTATTTTTCCTTTCTAATATACCCATGCTGCTTTCATCAGGTGTCTTGTACACGTCTGCTGCGTATATGATAAACGTGAATGCCCCCTCAGTTCCTAAATAAAATCCTTGCTGATAATTCTTGATTATTTTCACATTCATATTTCACACTAAAACATTTTAATCTCCAAATGCTCTAGTAAAGATGCAAAATGATTATGGGAACACCTGGAAAAGTCAAAACATGGAATTTTCCTGAACGGAACTAGTATAATCATAGAGTGACTAACATTTTGAACCATCACTTCCTTCCTAAAAATTACATGAAAATGTGCCCAAAAAATGCTAAAATTGCACAAAAACTAACAAAAAGGACGACAGTCGGCATGAGATTGTTTTCTGTCGACTGAAAGTGTTTCTGTTTCTTTTCACAAGTGGTTGGATATCTAAAAACAAAGGACCGAGATGCTAATTGCTATATAATCATAAGAGTAGCAAATTCAAACACTATAAATAACCAAAAGCTAACAGTAGAAATAGCAATAAACCAAAACCCTAGAGAAATAGGATCGAAGGAAACTACAAAAACCATGATATCAAATCTATACTCATTAATCTAAATTAACTGCTTTCTGTCACAAACTTTTGCATCAAACTTGAATCTATATCATCAAAGCATCGGATAACCAAGTCTTTTACATGAAATTAAAGAATGCGACGATGATGATGATGATGATAATGTAAATTAATTACTATGATCAATCTGCAGAAGGATGATCTGAAGGCTTCTTGAGAGAACAAGAGGACTTGAAAGCTTCGATCTGAGACTGACATTTGATGTAATCCCCTTTGTGTTCTTCCAAACACTTCTTCAAAGCTTCCACATCGCATGCTGACACTATCTTCTTCTTCCCGCTGCTTCTCTCTGCTTTGTCGTCCATTTCCTCCGGAATCAATACGAGCAAAAAGCTGACCAAATTAGCGAAATTCCTCCGTCCTCACGCATCATTCGAGAAGAAGGGGTTGCTCGTTCAGGCTTTCGTTTCATATTCATGCGGACAGTACAATGGGCTAAAGCCCGATGGCAAGGCCCATCTACATAAACCAGTCCAACTAAATTATTTTTTAGTCATTTTTAGAATTTAATTTTTATTTTAATCATATATATTTATATTTTAAGATAATTGGATTAAATTTCACTTCACTTATTTCATTCACATATTAAAAATTACTATAAGGGTATTCGCGCAATATAACGAGATATATCTTTATTTTAGTGTTTTGTTTTATTTTTTGTCTATGTTAATATAATATGGTTTATATAGTTTTGAGAAAGATAATACTTTTACTTTTGAATAAAAATAAATTTGAAGATATCATAAAAACTTGAAAAAATATATTGATATTAATATCAAATTAACTATTTAAAAGTTCTCATTTTTTGTACAATTTCTTTAATTCAAATTTTAATTGTAATCTAATTTAGATCTAATAGCGAACTAATTTATTTTTGGCTTAACAATATGATTTTTATAAAGATAATGATTTTGTTAGAACTTAATGATTATCCTAATTATATTCTAGATTTTTTATATTTAAAATGAGATGTTTTATCTTGTATTTAATTATGTTTATCTGTAATTAGTTATACGAATTCAAAAATTGAACTTTAATAAGTTGTACTTACGCACAATTACTTGTAATCTTAAATTTTAAGTATAAATAATGATTTTTAATAGTTTAGGTGAGAAGTGTAAGAAGAGAGCTAGACACTTGATCATTTTGAATTTCAAACTCACTCATGAATCGCGTTTGATATGGAGATTGAACTGGTGCATCTCGATGCATCTCATCCTAATGTGCATTCAATGATGGAGATCTCTTCTTACGTTTCTCACCTTAACCCTCCTTCTCACTTAACCTTACCCAAGTTCCTGATCAATGTTAAAATAATGTTTTACGTTCCGGAGGTAAGAGTTACAAAATACAAAATGTAAGAGGAGGTGAATACAATACTTTCAAAGATTAATAACATTTTTTATTACTAAGTGGCCGTTTACAAAACACTTACCCAGTAAGTGCTCACGGGTAAAATTTAACACTATTATTTACTTACCGAGTAAGATTTTAGTCCACTAAACGACATCATATGAAACAATTTACCCGGTAAGCGCTTACTGTAGTAAGAGTCGTCACCCTCACTTACCGGGTAAGACTCTTGGTCCTTGTCTCGCTCTTACCGGGTAAGATTCTTGATCCTTACCATCTTCATCCGGTGAGGTAGTGTGACTTGGTAAGGCTTATTCGGGTAAGCTTTTGGTAACGGCCCTTAAGTTTCCATTTTACGATTCAATAACATGTTATGGAAATAAACAAATAACCAACAAGTGCTTAATTGCCTAAACAGATTTTAGTAATCTATCGCTTCGACATATATAGCTCATAAATATCTTAATATAGAAACCTCAGTCAACCTATAATTGTTCTACCCAAAATAGTATTGACAATCGTGAGTACTCGTTGAACATGGGATTTCTTAATTGGGTATGAAGATCGTTTCTTTTACACATCCACACACAAAGTTTCTTCGTCCAATAACAGTATTTATAGCAGCAAGGAGGGGACAACAGTCCACATGGTTGAACTCATTCGCTATGGTTTACGATTGTTTACTAACACGATCACTTTTTTTAATTGATTTGCTTTTTGGAGTAACCAAATCAAAGAGATTGGACAACATGAATGA